GTCAGGTCAGGTTCTTTCTCTGTCACCCAGGCTGGAGTGTGGTGGCACGATCGCAGCTCACTGAAGCCTTGATCTCTGGGGCTCAAGTGACCCTCCTACCTCAGCCTCCCAGGGAGCTGAGATTATAGGCATGAGCCACCATGCCTGGTTAATTTTTTATTTTTTGTAGAGACAAGGTCTCGCTATGTTGCCCAGGCTGGTCTTAAACTCCTGGGCTCAAGCAATCCTCCCAGTGACCTTATAGGCATGCCCACCATACCTGGCTAATTTTTATTTTTTGTGGAGACAAGGTTTCACTATGTTGCCTAGGCTGGTTTTAAACTCCTGGGCTCAAGTGATCCTCCCGGCTCAGCCTCCCCAAAGTGCTAGGATTACAGGTGTGAGCCCTGCACCCAGCCATAAATCTTAAACTTTCACATTTAGTAGATTAATCAGCACTGAAGTTGTATTTAAATAGATTCAAAAGCATAGGAAATAAGAAAAAAATGCTTTTGTATTAAAGAAATTATTCAAACTTTCTAAATTTCAATACATACCTGTATAACCCTTGCAACCTGGCACCATTTTTACTGAAGGGTAAAGGGTTGTGAGGGTAGGAGGGGTCTTTAACAGCCAACATTATAGTAAACATACTTAGGGTGGGCAATATCTGTGAAAGGAAAAGCTAATAGGCAATAAGTCAGATACGGGATTAAGAGTTCTCTCATTGCTAGGTTTGTCCCTGACATGTCTCACAAACCCCTCCCTCAAAGCCCATGGCCTTGACTCTGGGCTGCCCGCATTGCAGTTCTTACCTCTCTTCTGCCCACTGGGTCACCTTCTGCTGTGCTGTCTGGCTGCTGTAGGCCAGGCGGTCAGGGCCGCTGCTCGGTGGCTGCCTGTCGGGGGAGAGCTGCTGGCGGAGTTGCTCCAGTTCCCGCTCATACATGAGCCGCTGCTCCTCCAGGGCACTTCTCTTTTCTTCTAGGTATTGTTTCTCCAGGACCTGAACCACGTTTTGAACTGGGTCTAGCGAGCCAAGAGACAAGGCAAGGTGTCTTAGTGGTGGCTAAAACAAGCATTCATCCCAAGCACTGCAGCCTGTGGGGGCTTCCTCTAGCAAGGAGTCTAGCCAGTTAACACACTTTATGTGAGAGGCCTGAGGGGCCACATCAGGGAAATCCTCTCAAATTCTTTGTTACTGACATTGCAGATAAATGCCCTTTGTATGTATACATTCTCCACATCCTCTATGTTACTTTCTTCAATTTGATGAGCTCATCCTAATGTTTAGATAAATAATTAATCTACTACCAAGAGATGGGGGAAGAGAGGGGAATGTGATCTTATCCACTGGGAAGAAAAAGTTCATGAAATCTAGGACCACTCCAAACACAGAAGCACATAAGATTTGATCTTTCTTTATGGTAATTCATTTCTATGTCCATTTAATATCAGTTTTGGTATATGACAAAGATTTATGACTTTCACCACAAATCTTATTACTCTTGAATTTCTCTAAGGTAGGAGGAAACTTATAGATCACAGCATATGTTTGAAAATATTGGTTAAGGATATGGTCTGGCAATTTCTCAGACTAGTATCTAAAAGGACAATTCACTTCCAAAAATAATAAAAACCTGTTTCTAACATCTCACATGTACAGATACAGAGCTCACCACCATGCACATGGGTGAATAGGTATAGATGTACTAACAGATCCTGCTCCAATGAGCTACCCTGATGGCTGTGGTGTAGGTAAATCCTAATGGGCTGGGCAGGACATCGACTTGGTAATGACCAGTGAGCTGGATACTGTGGAGAAAGACCAAGGCTCTGGCCACATGCACAAAAGGAGAAAGTTACCGACATCACTAAGTGAGGACAGTGTAGGAAAGGAGAATATTAGACAATCTCAGTAGAACAAGAAAATCATCATCACAGTTAATATTTCCCAGAACTATATTACTGAGAAATGCATTCTCAGACCAGCCTGGGACATGATTTCCTCCTTGTACATTCACACGTTTGCCTGCTATTCAGTGCCATTTATGCTGTATCCCCACACACTGGTACTCGGTTTAATTTCCAGAAAAGAAGCTGAAAATTAAAGTCACTCAGGAGGAATTTTTATATCACCTGATTGCTATTGACTGATTTTTCCAAGATACCCTATCAACTTGTAAAATACACATGTAAATTGTACTAATTTTCTGTATTAGTAGTAAGAGAAAAAGATAACATGTTAGCTTCAAAAAATAAAGTTAAATAATTCAAAACAAAAAGAACCAATTTTTAAAAAATCACAAGAAAAGCTCAGTATAGGTGAGTTGTTTTAATACAAATGACAACCACAATGGCAACAATAACCCTACCAGCTCCTGGCTACATCTCAGGTAGAGGCTCTATCTGCATTGCATGCATCACCTCATGAAAGCTTTGCAACAAGCCTAAGTGTGGATACATCCTGATTTTAAAAATAAGGAAACTGGGGCTCATAAAGGCTAAATAGCTGATTTACATCATGTAGCTACAAAGTGACAGGGTCAGGTTTTGAACTCAGATAACTAATTGGCTGGGGTAGGACATTCACTTGATAATAAACTGATGTTGTATTCTTACCTGCAATGTTTTGCTTACAATTAGTATTTTGCAAAAGAGTGATACTTTTAAAAAAGATACTGTTTTATTGATACAAAATTCTAAAATTCAGCATTTTTTTCAAAGCAAAATAGTTTTCTTTGTAGAGTCCTGAAATGAGTCCCTAAAATATATCATTTAAAAAGCTGATGGAAAACAAACTGGGGGACGGGTGTGTTGGCTCACGCCTGTAATCTCAGCACTTCGAGAGGCTGAGGTGGCCGATCACTTGAGGTCAGGAGTTCAAGATCTGCCTGGCCAACATGGTGAAACCCTGTCTCTACTAAAAACTAGCTGGGCTTGGTGGCATGTGCCTATAGTCCCAGCTACTTGGGAGGCTGAGGCAGGAGAATTGCTTGAACCCAGAGGCGGAGGTTGCAGTGAGCTGAGATCATGCCATTGCACTCCAGCCTGGGCAACAGAGTGAGACTCCATCCCCCGTCCACCAAAAAAATAAATAAATAAATAAATAAAATAAAAAATAAACTGGGGGGAAAAAACCCAAACCAAAAAACAAACAAAAAATCTTATGCAAAGGTAGATCTTGGGTGGGTAAAACATTATCTATATAATAATAACCTATGTATTCCTAAGCATCAGAACTTCTGACAAAGTCCTATAACTTCTAAAAAAAATATGAGAATTATGGTAAAATTTTTTGAGGGCATCTGAAGACATTTTAAATGTAAGCTCTAGAGAAGAAAAGTTCTCTCAGAATTAAAAAAATATATATACACATATTTCTCAAACAGTATATAGGCTCTGGGCTTAAAAAAGAAAGGACAGGGTGCTACAGTACTTGCTGTCCATTTATATTTAGATAGAGCCCAACTGTCCTAACAGCGTTTATAAATCTTTTTCAGAGAAACTGGAAAACACACCATTTTATAAAATTGCATTATAGGGTTTTTGCTACGAGATTCTGAATAAGATACATAATCCACATTTCCATTGTTAGTCAGTAGTGCAGAAACACACGTGATCCCAAATGACTGAGGCAGAGGGGATCTCACCCCAAGGTTCCATGCTGACACAGGCCACGTGAGTGAGGCTGTTTAAAACTGCACCAGCAGCTGTCATGACACAGCACTACCACTACTCACCGGGAGTGACGAGTGGCCACAGATCGAGGTGCAAATACAGAAGAGAGAGCAACTCAACGCATCCTTCCTCTGAGACTCCCACAGTAGTCTTGCAAGCCCCGTTCCCGGAACTCCCAGATCTGCCCTCATCACACACAGCTATGGTGGAGGTCTAGGGGCTGGGTTTTTGTTTCGCCTCTGATCCCTAACAGTAGTCTGGAAACACCTTTCTCACGGACATGTTTGATGACATTTTCTTTTCAGATCAATTAACCAGTTTCAAGTCTTTACTCCTACAAGCAGTATATTTTAAAACAGACCATCCAGATCAGCACGTTGATCTGATTCTATGTTGTGCCCAGGACAGAAGCCAAAGATTATTTGGCCCTTTCTCAAAATACCAACCAAATATTGAGAGATTGTCCACAGGTTTATTTTTCCTATCACTTTCCTTCTCTTGAACAAACTGTTTTAAATACTGAGCCAGGTGCCCAAAGCCAATATCTCAAAGAGGTAAGTATTTTAGGAAAAAAGAAAGGACCACATTTAGTTTGGGCATAGCACGTTCTCATCCTCATTAGTGTTTTCTTTACTTAGTAGGTAACTATGCAATGAGCTCAAACCGACCCATCATCCCAAGGATGGAAAGGAGAAAATGGCAGTGGTAGTGGCGCCGGTAGCGGGGTATTTACATGAGAAACAGAATTAGAATTAATCCACAAACAAAATGTCTAAAAAACTAAACTGAAGGGAAATAGATCTTTGGAGAAAAAAAGAACTATTTGATCCCAGATGGAACAAACTGGCACTATGCATGACCCTTTGTCAGCCCCTTAATTCTTCTTTATTTTTTAAATGTTTTATAGAGATGAAGTCTCACTATGTTGCCCAGGCTGGTCTCGAACTCCTGGCCTCAAGCAATCCTCCCACGTTGGCTTCCCAAAGTGCTGGGATTACAGGAGAGAGCCACTGCGCTTGGCAAAGTTGCTCTTTCTTTAGAGCTGCCATTGACATTGAAAAAAGAGATGATTCTTATTTTGTCTGATTCCAATTTCAAACCCTTGTGAAGAAGGCATTATTGTCCACAAATACTAGGTTTTTTTTTACTTTTAATTCAAATGAACTGGGTTTTAGATCAGTATTTATTCTAGAAACTAAAAAATACATTATTCTTACCTATTACTGGGATAATGTCGGTGAATATATATCTGCAAGTACTACTGACCTGAATTGCTTTGCTGTCAACAGCAATAAAGCTATCAATAACAGCAGTAATAACACCAATAATACTTTTCAGTGCTGTTGCAAGCATAGAGAAGAACAGCTGCTGTTAGAGTTGAACCAAAATCTGGGAGGCAAATGGAAGTGTGTGTATCTATGTGTTGGGGTGGGGTGTTCATAACTGAAAAGGAATATTCCTCAATGAAGAATACAGGGCACCTTCATCAGCCAGAAAACTCCAGCTTCTTCCCAATCATGTTAGTTAGATTTTTGCCAAAGCATGGAGCATGAGCATCAATCAGCAGCACTGCTAAAAACCAGCCAAGCTCCCTCATGCCAATGCCACTCAGTTAAAAACCTTTCTCCCAGTGTTTGTGGAGGACCTTCGTCTGAAACCACATGAGAGGGAAGAGGATCTTCAAATAAGACCACCAAGGGGATGACCACCAGGCAGACAGGCTTATTATCGGGAAGCCACCTAGCAGTAGAGGAGAATCACAGTGAACACCGTCCAGCCGCCAGCACGGCAGCACTTGCATCAGAGACTGTGTGTATGCCCCAAAGGGAAGCTCCACTGGAACTGGGTAAAGGATGGGGTAGGGGGAAACACGACTTCCTTTTTTTTTTTTTTTTGAGATGAAGTCTTGCTCTGTCACCCAGGCTGAAGTGCAATGGCGCAATCTCACCTCTAACTGCGGCCTCCACCTCCCAGGTTCAAGTGATGCTCCTGTCTCAGCCTCCTGAATAGCTGAGACTACAGGCAGGCATCACCAAGTCTGGCTAAATTTTTGTATTTTTAAGACAGACTGGGATTCACCATGTTGGCTAGGCTGGTCTCGAACTCTTGACCTCAAGTGATCCATCCACTTCAGCCTCCCAAAGTGCTAGGATTATAAGTGTGAGCCACTGTGCCCGGCCATAAATATAACTTCTACATGGACAAAATCAACATTGGAGAGCAAGGCCTGATGTGGGATACAAAAGAATAACTCACGTTAACACTGTGCACCAGGCCACTGATGACTAATTGGTGTGGCTGAGAGGATCAGAGGAATTAACAAATGCTTACTAAATACTCATTGGTTATTGAAGGAGTTATTTATATATAAGAAGGTAGTAATTGATTAAAATAAGAAACCTATGATCTGGGATGGCTAAATGGTGAAACCAATACCACCTGTAAACTCTGCAGTTAGCGACTAGAGATGTCTCGATTCTGTAATGTTAGCTGAAGCCATGAGCTCTCTCCAATGGGAGTTCTTCCACCTGGAGTTTAGAGTCTACATCCTACATCCTCCTGGACACCCTGTGTTCACTCAGGCGTCCAAAAGATCACTCACAGGAGGCTTGTCGCTCAGGCAGGTAGTCACATGACCCATTAATGTGATTCTGACGTCTCAATATCACTTTGGAATGTCTTTGGGATTCCTCCCAATTGGTGGGGAAGTGGCAGCGTGGAATGAAGCTTGATTTCTAGCTATGGTCCACCCTGCACTGCAGGGCCCAAAGCCCCAGTGGCTAATCTTAACACTCGACTCTGTTTAAAGACAGAAACTGCCAAACTTTTCTCATAAAGTTGTTTATTTCCCACTTTTTTCTTTGTGGTTCTATCCTTTTTTTCTTTTTTTATTTCCCTTGGCAGACAGAGTTTTGCTCTTGTTGCCCAGGCTGGAGTGCAATGGTGCGATCTCGGCTCATTGCAACCTCTGCCTCCCAGGTTCAAGCGATTCTCCTGCCACAGCCTCCTGGATAGCTAGGATTATGGGCACCTGCCACCATGCCTGGCTAATTTTTTTTTTTTTTAATCTTTTTTTTTTGTATTTTTAGTAGAGACGGGTTTCACCATGTTGGCCAGGCTGGTCTTGAACTCCTGACCTCAGGTAAGCCACTTGCCTCAACCTCCCAAAGTGCTGGGATTATAGGCAAGAGCCACCGTGCCTGGCCTCTGTACTCTTTATATAAATACATTACACTTGTTTTTCACAGTCTGGCTTTTTCTCTGTCTCTCTCTCTCTCCACTCCCACCCCTGCCTCCTTCCTCCCTCCCTCCCTTTTTCCTTCCTTTCCTTTCTTTTTTTGAAACAGACTCTTGCTTTGTTGCTCAGGCTAGAGTATAGTGGTGTGAACTCAGCTCACTGCAACCTCCGCCTCTCAAGTTCAAGTGGTTCTCGTGCTTCGGCCTCCCGAGTAGCTAGGATTTCAGGCATGCACCACCACACCTGGCTAATTTTTGTGTTTTTAGTAGAGACGGGGTTTCTCCATGTTAGCCAGGCTGGTCTCGAACTCCTGGCCTCAAGTAATCTGCCTGCCTCAGCCTCCCAAAGTGCTGGGATTACAGGTGCGCACCACTATGCCTGGCAAATTTCTGTATTTTTAGTTGAGATGAGGTTTCACTATGTTGCCCAGGCTGGTCTTCAAGTCCTGGCCTCAAGCGATCTGCCCGTCTTGGCCTCTTAAAGTGCTGGGATTACAGATGTGAGCCACCATGCCTGGCCTTTAATTTTTATATATATAAATTTTTTTTTTTTTGATAAGGACCCTCATTTTGTCACCCAGGCTGGAGTGCAGTGATGCGATCTTGGCTCAACCTCTGCCTCCTTGGTTCAAGCGATTCTCCTGCCTCAGCCTTCCCAGTAGCTGTGATTACAGCCATGTGCCACTATGCCTGGCTAACTTTTGTATTTTCTGTAGATACTAGGTTTTGCCATGTTGGTCAGGCTCGTCTCGAACTCCTGACCTCAGGTGATCCGCCCACCTCGGCCTCCCAAAGTGCTGAGATTACAGATGTGTCACCATGCCCAACCCTTTATTTCATTTTTATAATTAAAAAAAAGAGGCTCCCTAGGCAAAAACTTCATAATCAGAAATCAATGAAAAGGCCAAAAACTTTATTCCTGCAACAGAATCCCCAATTTGATATGCCAGAGATCTGACTGATAATTCTCTCACCATGTGCTTGCTTTGGCAGCACATATGCCAAAATTCTCTATGCTCAAATTCTTCCCAGATAGGCTCAAAGAGTAAAGTGAGAAAGCCACTGTTTAAGGGAAGAGCTCAACTCTCAAAAACAAAATGCTCTTCAAGCCCCCTGTCAGGTAGAGGCGGCCTGTGGCCGTCAGGACCCTGGAGGTCCACCCTGGTTCAAGCTAGGGAACCTCAGGTGCCCCAAATCAGATGAATGGGAAGGGGAGGTTGGACTGAGCCTACAAACTACCTTTCTCAGGTGCCCCTAAACAGCCTCAGTTTTATCCTCATAAAATCGTTCTAGTCCCAGAAATGTCATCTTCTGGTTGGTAACAGGAGAAAACTGCTGTCTGGTTTCTAAGTCCCAGTCATCAAGTCTAGTAATTAAGAGACTGAGTGATGGGATAAGAAAAAGTACATTTATAAAACAGCAAAAAAGGAAAGAATTTGGTGTCTATTTTATTTAATGCAAGCAGGTGTGTATAGGCACAGAAGAAGAAAGAAAAGGTGAAGGAACACAGACTTTTAGGCGTGAAACTTGGAGTGTAAGTCAAACAAAGAGGCTATAAAGCATTTCATTTTCACTATCATTTTTGTAAAAGTGATCTGGGCTTATTAAATAAGTATCTTTGGGGCACAATTTCCAGTTGAGTTTATACTAAAATGCTGTGACTTTTATCTTTCCATTAGATTATATTTGAAATTCCTGAATTTATATTCTCTTGGGGGTTTTTATATTCTCAAGGATTCAGATATGACAGGCTCGATGATGAGAAATTTTAAGGAATTCTGTCAAAATCATTCAGTATTGCAGGCCCGTGGAAATGTTACCATAATTGTCTTGGGAATAAGAGGTCTCAATAACAGGACCATCCATATCCTGGTTGTAACTGAGGGAGAAGACCATCTCCCCCATATCTTGTCATTAGTTATTCACTGATGGCCTTTTAAAGAAATGAGCAGTTTTATGTGTTTAAAATGTGGAATGTGGAATGACACTTGATGCATGCTTATCCCTCACTCGGTGGTGTGAGGTGAGGAAATGTCCAAGGCGCTGGAATACAGCGTGAGGGTCTTACCATTACTATTCAGAGTTTTCATGATAACTTCCATCTGTGCAAATTCATAGTTATAGTCTGGTTCAGAGGAAGCCTCACTGGCTGCATCCAGGTCATGCTCCGGCGGACCCGTTTCTTTTTCAAAGTCTTTCAACCAATCTCGACGTTTCCTCTTAGGTAAGTTTATTCTGTGGGGTTTTTCACCATTAGAGAAAATCAACTTGCTTTACACTTAAATAGATAACAGAAAAAACATATACGAAAATATATTACAGAACACAAAGATGTTACCTAAAAAAGTGATTATTTCCCCATAGGATTCGGTCACCATGCCACAGCTGGGTGGTACTGCACACAAGGGTGCCGTTCACACAGGACCTGGGAGAACACGAGGGAAAATACCAGGTGAATGGGAAGGAGCACAAGACCCTGCCCTGGTAGTCAAAGAGATAACTAGGGGAGCTTTCTCTGAATAAATGCATTCCAACTAATGCTTAAAGAAGGAAGAGCAGAATGTGTAACCACTATGAAAACACACGATCTAAGCCATGAGGACCAAGGGCCGCCAACACCCCTCAGAGAATGACAACCTGACATGATGCACTCCTGATGGAGACAGAAAGCACCACCCATGGCTATTCTTGTCAAAATTTGAGCTGAACCTGATCAAGCTTCCACATTTAAATGCCAATTTAGGAAATACAGAGAACAATGGAGGATGTGAAATTATGCCATGGGATGCAGTGAGCAAAATCCTGACTGTGGGAACCTCTAGGATCAACAATGAGGTGACTTCAACAAATAAAATGCAAGGAAGAAGAAAGGCAGAGAGAGACAGGGATAAACAGACACACACACAGAGAGAAGAGAGGAAGAAGAAACCCATTTGTTAAAAGAGATCTAAGAGGAATACTATAAAACAATGGTAGGATCTTATCTGGATCTTAATTTCCAGAAACATCTGAAAAAGAACACTGATGAAAGAACTGGGGAAATCTCAGCACTGACTGGCTATATGATGATTAGTAAGGAAATACTATTAATTATTTTAGGTATGATGATATTGAAACTATAAGAATCTTCATCTTTTAGAGAGACATACTGAGATATTTACGGATACAATGTTATAAAATCTGGAATCTACTTTAAAATAATTTTTTTTTCTGGGCGTGGTGGTGGGCACCTGTAATCCCAACTACTTGGAAGGCTGAGGCAGGAGGTTTGCTTGAACCCGGAAGGCGGAGGTTGCAGTAAGCCAAGATCTTGCCACTGCACTCCAGCCTGGGCAACAGAGTGAGACTCTGTCTCGAAATAAATAAATAAATAATTAATTAATAATTCTGCTTTCTTTTTGAGACACGGTCTTACTCTGGTTGTCCAGGATGGAGTGCAATGGCGCAATTATGACTCACTACAGCCTCAACCTCCTGGGCTCAAGTGATCCTCCCACCTCAGCCTCCCGAGTAGCAGAGACTACAGGTGTGTACCACTACACCAGTTAATTTTTTGTATTTCTTGTAGAGTAGGGGGTTTTGCCATGTTGCTTAGGCTGATCTTGAACTCCTGGACTCAGGCAATATGCCCACCTCGGCCTCCCAAAGTGCTGAGATTACAGGTGTGAGCCACTGTTCCTGGCCTGCTTTAGGAAGGGGGAGGAGATATGGAACGCATATAAATAACAAAATTGTCTATGAGGTGCTCATTTTTAAAACTGGAGGATGGGTCCATGGGGTTTCATTATATTATTCTCTCTACATTTTTTATTATTCTCTCTACTTTTTTTTTGAGACAGGGTCTCGATCTGTAACCTAGGCTAGGCTAGAGTGTAGTGCCATGACCATGGCTCACTGTAGCCTCGACCTCCTGAGCTTGAGTGATCCTCCCACCTCAGCCTTGTAAGTAGCTGGGACTACGGGAATCGAACACCATGCTCGGCTAATTTTTTTATTTGTTTTCTGTAGCGATGGTGTCTCACTATAATGCCCAGGTTGGTCTTGAACTCCTGGGCTCAAGCAATACTTTTGCCTCGGCCTCTGAAAGTGCTGGGATTACAGGTGTGAGTCACCCCGCCTAGCCAATTTTCTGGTATTTAAAAACAAAACAAAACATTGGAGGTGGACGAGATAACTAAATAGTTAATTGAAGGTTAATTTGCCAAAGGACTGTCAGGTAAAGTTTGATGAAAGAAAAGAAGTGTCATTTTGAGTTTTACTTTTCCAGTAAGTTACTCTTTTCACTTACTCTCATTATTGGACTCCTGATCTTTACAGGGTTCTAAAGCTCAGAGTTATGGAATAAGTGGAACTAGAACTCCCATACAAAAATAGTCACTCCTTCACAGTAATCACTCTCTACAATCAGAAGGCCAGGACCCCTGGAGGACCCAGTGTATCCTTAACTTTAATATAGCTGAAAGCAAACAGAAAGAGGCAGCCTTCTCCTTCTGAAAATAAGGCACACAAGACACGTGAAGTCGCCATTTACTTTTCTTACCTTGCATTTTCTTTTGGAGTAAGAGTGACATCTCCATCAGACGCAATGTCAATCTCACAGTGCTCAGGCTGAATTCCTATGCCAAAAAGCTGGATATCTTGAGAGGTATCTGCACCCACCCTGGTGTGATCCTAGTAAAAGATTATTAAAGAAAGAAAAACTCACACTTATGAGTAACTCAACAAAAATTTATCACAGTCAGTTTGAATAACTCATCAATATATGCACAAAAATATTAAACGAATCCTGCCAGAGATGTTAAATATCTTAAGCATTAAAAGTAAAAAGCTTACCCTTAATACACCAAATTAAAAAATGTTTAAACACTACCAAAAAAAAATCCCCAATTGACAATGATTAGTTGTTGTTTTTAACACAGGAAATTGGACTTGACAGTAGAATACTTTGAGTTTCAGTTTTGACTTGACCACGGGCAAGCCAGTTCACTCTCTGAGCCTCAATTTCTTTGTTGGCAAAACCAGGATAATATTATCCATTTCACCTACTTACATTTCTTTTAGGATCATCTGAGTTAACAGTGAAAGTGTTTTGAAAACAGTTACATAAATTTAAGAACCATTAAAAAGCAGTTTCATTGAGAGTCATATTTTAAAATATCCAACTTTGAAAATGCTAAAAATGTTGGATTTCTAATACTGATATGACATAGAGCATGGCTGCCTGTGGGTCACACCATGTACAGACTTGTGGGTTTTTTTTTGACATGCTGTCTCACTCTGTCACCCAGGCTGGAGAGCAGTGGTACGATCTCAGCTCACTGCAACCTCCACCTCCTGGGTTCAAGCGATTCTCTTGCCTCAGCCTCCCGAGTAGCTGGGATTACAGGTATGTGCCACCATGTCCGGCTAATTTTTATTTTTAGTCCAGACAGGGGTCTTACCACGTTTGCCAGCCTGGTCTTGAACTCCTGGCCTCAAGTGATCCTCCCACCTTGGCCTCCCAAAGTTCTGGGATTACTGGCGTGAGACTGACAACATTTTAAACTACAAACATAAACATAAACCCTTAGTCCTCAGGGCTATGATATCATTACATGTCTCATAGACTCCGGAAAACTCCATTCACCAATACA